AGATAGATAGATAGATAGATAGATAGATAGATAGATAGATAGATAGATAATCAATAGATGATGGATATAGATAGATATAGATATATGGATAGATATAAATGACGGATATAGATATATGGATAGATAGATATAGAGGTGGTATTCAGCCAGTTCTGACCAGTTCTGGAGAACCGGTAGCGAAACATTTGAGTAGTTCAAAGAACCAGCCAATCCCATCTCTGACTGGCCCCGCCCCAATCTCTTCTCCACCTCCCATTGAGTCCCAGCTGATTGGCTGGGTCTTCTTTGGTTTCCCTGCACAGGAGCTGGAAAGCAGGTTAGTGGGGTGGAGAGGGAATGGAGATTTTACAGTATCCTTCCCTGCAACGCCCACCAAGCCACACCCACAGAACCGATAGTAAAAAAAATTAATGCCACCGATGGATGGATGGATGGATGGATGGATGGATGGATGGATAGATAGATAGATGGATGGATGGATCAGGGATCCCCAAGCTTGGCAACTTTAAGACTTGTGGACTTCAACTCCCAGAATTCAAGTTTAGAGACCTCTGAACTAGATGATCAATAGATGATGAACAAGATAAATAAATGATGGATTATATATATAATGGGTAGATGGATGTAGATATAGATTTGCTGCCACTTCAAATGTTTATATTAGAGACTGCATCATCTCTGTAGATGCCATATGCTAATTTTTATCACGTTTTTACATTAAATGAATAAGATATTTATATCTTGCTTCTCTTTATGTATGAATTCTATATATTTTCTCTACAGATATGCATATATATTCTATATATTTATATAGAAATCTATATTTTCCCTTTAGTTTTACCCTGCTCTTTATAGCATGTAAATGCACATGCCACACAGTAATTATAATTAACAACTTTTGTCTATATTTAATTAATGTATATGTGTATGTTAAAACGAATTATTTCTAATTTCTAATTAATAAATTGAATGAATGGGAACGAAACTACTATATCAAGCCTGCCCATTCTTGGTCCAACACCATTAATTTCTATTCCAGGCTGGTTCTTGTAGGAAAATTTTCAAAGTCAGACAGAAGGAAGTTGTTTTGGCTTGTTCTCCAGTAAGTAAGGCAGTTAGATGTGGAATGATTCTGTACAAGGAACATTACTGGTAGTCCTCCACTTACAACCACCTGTTTAGCGACTAATCAAAATTACAGTAGCACTGAAAAAAGTACTTTGACCAATTTTCCCCATTGCAGCATTCCCATGGTCACGGAATAAACCTTCGTGTTCTGACCCAACCTTGTTCCAAGGAAACAAACACCGGAGGTAAAAGCAAGACCTTGTAATGCTTCTCTGTGAATTCCATTCGTTCCGTTAAAAGGCTATGAAAACTAATTGTCTCTGATAAGAACGAGCCTTGCCAAAGTTGTGCAAGGCTGCCAAGAACACTAGATAAAAGTTGCCAAGAACTATTCAAAACAGTTCTCCAGACACAAACCAGGATAGTCCGAACGTCCACAAGGCTTGAAGTGCGAGAACTTCTTTGCTTCCTGCAAAGAATCCCGGTCTCTCAGGCTGGCTTTTATCTCTTTAAGGGAGGGGCCATCACCTTGCAGCCTTTCTCACGAGTTGCCCCTTTCCTTCGAGCAGCCCTGTGTGTATGCGCGCTGGGCACGGGCTCCTCTGCATCGCCGTTGCCCGCCTCCACAATCTCCACAAGCAGCCCCCCCACTCTGATAGTCCTGGCCCCATCCCCACGTCACACACAGGCCCCTCATCTGAGTCCTCAGCACCGGCTGCCAGCAAACCACAATTCGGATCCTTGATAAAGGGCATGTATTTATGAGTTGCCCTGTCTTGGGGTCATGAGATCACCGTTTTCCCCCTTCCCAGCCAGCTTCTGACAAGCAAAGTCCGTGGGGGAGGAGGAGGAGGTTTCACTTTCACTTAATTGCAGTGATTCACTTAACAACAGTGAAAATGTACGACTCAATAGTACTCCGAAGTCAAGGACTATCTGCACAGTTTGGTTCCCAGAAAGGTGGTAAAGTTTAATCAGAGATCACCTTTATTTAAAGAGACTGAGCACTGACAGGTTTGTAAAACCCAGATGAAGAACTGAACAATTTAGGTTGAAGAAATAGGCAGGTTATTTTTAATTTAATGTCTGAACAAGTGCACACAAAACCACTTAAATTAACAGATGAACAAAAGTCCATTGGTTTATGCCCCCTTTCTCCCTGCCCATCCTCCAAAAAACTATTTTGCTAATTAAAGGAGACTTCTAGTTAATTATAGATTTCTGTGAAGGTGGGATGAAGGTTACCTGTCATTTTGTGAAGGGATCTGAAGTCTGTTCTGTGCTTTGGGGAAGGAAAAGGAAATGTAAGTGCAAACAAAAAAAATTCCCCGACTTCAAAAGGCAGTGGGGAGAATTGAGCCTGGTACGGCTATTAAATTTAAAGTCTTTCAAATAAAGTCTCAGTATTGCCTCCACGTTTAGATAGCTCGTTCCAAAGGTTCACATGCTGGCTGTGATGACTTAATGACTTTGAACATCTCAAAACTCCTAAAATCAGCCATCTCTGTTCATGGGCCTGAGTTGGTTTCAACTCCTGGCAATTTTGCTTCCGATTTTTGGAAAGTAAATTGCCTTTTTCTTCTTTAGAGTGGAGAAAAGAGAAACTAGTTAAAGTCATCCCACTGAGTTGGTGCCTAAGGCCTGCCATTTTCTCATCTGGTCTCTAAACTGGTTCTCGCCCCAATTATTTAAGCCGGTGTTTTTCACACCTGGCAACTTTAATAAGATACATGGACTTCAACTCCCAGAATTCCTCAGGCACCATGCTGGGAAGTCAGAAGTTACTCGTTGCCAAGTTTGGAAAACACTGATCTAGGCTACGTTGTGTAGGAAGCTTTGGGAAGTAATTAACAGCATGAAAGTATATAGGTAGTCTTCAACTTACAACCGGCCACTTAGTGATTGTTCAAAGTTACAATAGACCCCCCCCCCCAAATCACAACTTAACTTCCAACTTAATGGGGATCACAATTTAGCTCAACATTTCTGCTGCTAAGCGAGACGGTTAAGTGAGTTTTGCTCCATATTGCGACCTTTCTTGCCACAGTTGTAAAGTGAATCACTGCAGTCAACAAAGTTGTGAGAGGAATCCGACCTCCCCATCAACTTAGCTCCTCAGTAGGTCACAAAAGGGGATCTTGTGATCCTGGGACACAACCGTCATAAATATGAACGGGTTACCAAGCATGTGAATTTTGATCATGTAACCCTGGGGGATGCTGCAACAATCGTGTGAAAAATGGTCATAAGTCACTTTTTTCAGTGCCGTTGTAACTTTAAGGTATCACTAAAATGGATGGTTTTAAGTCAAAGGCTACCTGAATTGCATTCTTGCAAGTCATTAATGGCCCACAACCCAGCAACTAGATGTCTGAAATTTAGATAGAAACATGATAGCAGACCAACTCAAAACTATTTCAGCATTCAAGAAGGCACAGGCTCTTTTTGATAGGAAATGCATTTTATTTTGAGAACTTCTGTTTGTACAAAATTAGCATAATTCAGAAAGGTAAAAAAGTTGCTTTCTTCTGAACATTATTACAGATTTATAAAAATGCAAAAAAGACAAGTACATTTGTTCCAGTCTGTTTAACGTGAAGAGTGATTTATTTAGCAACCCTGGTTTATTTATTTTCTTATGTTGAGGTATTCACTGTAGAGTATTGTGACTGTTGAGGTGAGAAACAACTGACCGCTGAATATACAGTCAAGATTTTCCATTCAAAAACTAGTTACATATCTAGTTTCCCATCCTAAGCAAAACTAGAAAATTCAGAATTAGCAGGTTAAGAAACACGCATGCGGACCGCAAAGATGATCATCTAAAACTAATGATACAGAATGGTAATATTATAGTTGATAATTCCAAGAACAAAACTTTCCTCTGGCAGCTTGCAGTTCGCTCTTTTTTTTTTTTTTTAAAAAGGGTTCAGAGATCAGTCTGATCCGCAAAGAGGACTTTTAAATTGTCCTTTTCAATGGCTTTCCTGTGTTCCCATAAGACACCACAAAAATAGAAAGCAGCACCTGGCTGGCAAATACAAAGGCAGAGGTAGCCATTTTGCATAAAAGGCTTTTAAGACAAACGGTTGATAAGGAAGAACTGTTGTTTTTTTAAACAAAAAACAAAAACGATGCACACAAATAAAACAACGGAGTCCCGACACAACCGAGGGAAAACAGTTAAAACACTTCAAACTTATGGCCTTGGATCCATTGCTTCAGAAGATTGTTCTAGCAATTGAGCTACATACAAGATTTGATGCGTGAGAGAACGGCTTCGCCCCAATTTAATAGCAGGTCTCTGACAAGCAATACAAGGTTCCCTTCGACCTATGCTGATCCGTATATATGTGAATTGGAAATGCTACCAAAATAATATAAAAGCAAGTTCCTCAATCTTCACTTTTTTTGGGGGGGGGAGGAGGAAGGGGCTTGGGAAGGGGGAATGGAGACAGAAGTTTTTCCAAAAGGTTATTTATTTAAATAAACCCCATCAAAATCTCACACGGTTGTTTTTTCTTTTTCCTTTTTCCGAAGGGGGCAAGACAAAAGAACAGAACGAACCTCAAAAAAAAAAAAAGAAAAAAAAAACGGAATGAGAAGTGCTTTACAGAATCACCGTCCGTTGCCGTAACCTGGGAAGAGCTGAATGAGAAGATCCTGCAGAGGTTGGTTCACTTCCATCGTATAGTTTTTGCCGAGATCGTAGCGGCAGGCTGGGCAGCTGTAGACTTTGGCTCGGAAAGATCGATCCAGGCAATCCTACAAGAAAACGGGACAAAAGCGAAGAATGCGACTTGCGCTTAAACAACAACTTTGATCAACCTAATCCTCCCCCCGGAGAAGATTTTGGTCCAAAGCAGATTAAAAATGTCAATCCAGTGGAACAAATCTCTTTAAAGTTTAATTGTGGAGGATCTACGTAAGCTGGAGAAGCTGGGATGGAGGAGAGCAGGATTACGCTCCGAGTACCACTTTTACGCGAAACGTTGAAATAAATAAAAGAGCCTAAAAACAACACGCAAAAAAGCCAGCCATAAAGTATGTTTTGGGTGGTGGGGTTATCATCTAAACCTTTTTATTGTATGTTCGGATTCCAACACTTTCTGTAACAAACATTTCTAATTCAGTTGTCAAATTACTTCCACGTCCAGATGTCAGAGTCCTCCGCTTACGACCAACATGGAGACCGGAACTTCCATTGCTAAGTGAGGCAGTTGTTAGGTGGGTTGCACCTGAATTTACAACCTTTTCTGCTAGTTGTTCAATTAATCCTGCTTCCTTCCCCGCTGCCTCTCTTGTCTGAGTTGTCTCCTAGGCAGCATTCTCTTCCCCTCGTACCCCCAAATCCTCCATACGTTCCATTACAGTCATTAAGCAAACCATCACTGTTATTAAGTGATTCCAGCTTCCTCCAATGCCTTTGCTTCTTCTTCAAAGGGGAAGGTGGCGATCAAGTGATCCCAGAATGCTCCAACTGTCATAAATGCACGCTGGTTGCCACACGCTCACATTTTAATCACTTGATCCCAGGGAGGCTGCAACAGTCAGGAGCGCGAGGACCTGTCACAATAGGAGGACTACCTCTAAAATGTGTTCACGTTTATTCTGGCAAAACAAACCAGGAACAGGAAGGGAATCCTCTGGTACGCTGTTGTGATTCACTGCTTGTTCAGTGAAACGGGGGGGGGGGGGGATAAACGGAGCATGGGTTCAAGTTTTATCAGGCCGACCCTCTCAACTTAAGTTTGCAGGTAGCAATTCTTCAGGGGATAAAGGAGATGTAGGTTTCGAAGTGAACGAGGAACAGAGACAACAAGCAGGAGAGTCTCTCAGCCAGGCCCCTCCTGTAACTCATTTAAACAAGACATATTCGTCTCGGGACTGTTTATGCGCTCAGCCGTCCCGAGATAAACAGCCATAAAACCAAATCCCTGGACAACTGGTCTTTCAGCTTGATTCAGCCCTTAATTAATGTCTTAAACGAAACAGCACTGAAAGTTGTTGTATGGCTGGCGTACTCGGAAAACGGTTCTGTTAAGCCTTTTTATTATTATTATTATTTCCTGAAACACAGATAGAATTAAAGGTGCCCTCTCTCCTCTCCATTTTATCCCACTCAAAACCATGAGAAATGTCATACTGACTTTTAAGGAGAAGAGGCAGAACCTGGAGGCGGAGTCAAGAGAGGAATTAGCTTAGAGTCCCTAGGTTCCCATCAGCAATCAGAGTCCAGCCCGCCTTGAATTCAGTTGACTTACTTAACCCCAATTTAGTGCTGGCTGTTAGTTGACTAGATTTCTGTGTAAAGAGTGGAGCAATAAATCATCTTAGCTGGAACTTGAAGTGTGGCCACAATTCTTCACACTTCCTCTCCAATTAAGACACCAGAAAGCAGGCACACGTTCCTCTGGTGAAAGTGTAGCTATAAAGGGCAGGTCTGGTATGCAATGGAAGAGACCGGCAAAAACCAAAGGGGGGGAAACCCAGATTTGATTAACAACCCCAGCAAAAAAGGTGATTAAAATCAGACGCGACTCACTCAATGACCGCATCACAGTGTGAGGGAAGTTCAGGAGCGAATCGGGGTCGTGCTGCCCTGCCTACCCAGAGCTGCTTAAGCCAAGGCCTGGACCACCTTTGCAGGCCAACGTGAGACATGTCAGCTGCTCACCTTACATACGTTGTGCTGGCACACCGTGGTGATTGGTTGGAAAACCACCTCTTGGCAGCAAATGCACAGAAAGGTTTCCTCCACTTTGTTCAGGAATTTCTGCCAGGAGAGAGAATTAAGGTAGTTAATCCTCAGCCTCATCCTGCCTGATCCCTAACCCAGGAAATGTTCCTCTTGGCGCCCTGGCCTTGGAGAAGCCTGTCTTCATGTTTGTTTATCCTGGTTAAAGCTGGTCATTTGCATTCTTTTATCGAGTTGTCAAGGCCACCTAGAGGCTCATCTGTGTCCTCAAGGACCCCTGAGTGGTGCAAGTGGGTGTGCAGCCTTCTCGGAACTGCTGAAAGGATTGCGTTGTAGACCAGAGATAGATGATGTTGGATCTCAACCCCTCCATTGAGGGAGGGCCGTTCAGTTTTAATCTAGGTGGCCTCTTTGACCTCTTTCAAACCAGCGGTCCTCCCTTTCCAAAATTCTCCTGTGTTGTGCCATGCATTTGTGAAGTGGTTGTTTCGTTTCCCAGTTTGCACCACTCAGGTGACCCCCGAGGACACAGACAAACCTCCAAGTGGCCTCAAGGACTCTCGAAAAAGGATGCAAATGACCAGCTGTCTGCAAGGAGGATAAATCCTTCCATTCCCCACCATCCAGTCAGAACTGAAGAAGCTTCTGGGATGAGAAGCGAAGAGTATTCAAAGAAAAACCAGAAAGTCCAGTTGCCTCCTGAAAAAAGCACCTTTGGGACAACCATGACCCGGATGACGGAGAATGTCCATAGATACAGAGAGAACTGTGTTATTTTCATGGTTTAGTATCATCTTACAACCGTTTGTTCAGTAGCTGTTTGAAGTTACAAGGGCACTCAAAACCATTTACTTACAACCGGTCCACGCAGTTACAACGGTTGTGGCATCCCCACACGGTCACATGATCAAAATTTAGGGTTTTGGCAACCAGCATTAACTTACAGGTGGTCCTTGGCTTGCTACCACAATTGAGCCCAAAATTTGTGTTGCTGTTAGAATTTCTTCAACGAGTTCCCCGTTTTACGACTTTTCTAACCATATTTGACAAGTGAATTACTGCAGTGAAGCTGGTAACCTGGGTGATGAGCACCTGGCTTCCCCAATGGCTTTACTCATCAGGTCACAACCGGGGGACCATGTGACCCTGGGATACTATGACAGTCATAAATACGTGCCCATGGCCAAGTGTCTGAATTTTCATCACATAACCATGGGGGGCGGGGAGGGAAGAATGCTACAAGTCATTAAGTCTGTAAATAGGCATGTCACTTTTTGCAGTGCCGTTGTAACTTCGAATAGGGACTAAGCAAAGCGTGGAAATCAAGGACTACCTGTGCTGATGCAGGCTGAGCGTCTGTTCCAGAGACTTTGGCACTTAAGGGTCTGAGCGAGTGGGACTAAAGAGCACGAAAGGCCGTCTCAACATGGGAGAAAAGGACAAGAGAAGGCAAGCAAGCTGCCCACGGCAGATGAGCGGAGCCATCTCAGCAAAGGAAAAAGAAATTAAAAATGGGGCACTGCTTTTTCCCTGGGGGAATCCTTATTGCTTTGAAAGTTTGTTTCCTTGCAGACGTTTCACTACCCAACTAGAGAGCATCATCAATGTTAGAAGGGAGAGGGGTTCGTGGAGAGGAGGAGAAAGACGAAGGGGTCCTTGGTGCTCTCTTGAGCTTGGTTGCTTTCTCGGTTCGGAGTCTAATCGTGTTTCCTTCGACAAAAGCCCACTCAAGGAACCACCAGGAACACCTCCACCAACCCTGACAGGGCACGATACTGTATGTAAACAGAGAGCAAGCCCCACTTCCTTCTAGTCCTGATGACGGTACCTAGTTGCGTCGTGAAATGTCTGCAAGAAAACAATCAAGCTCAGAGAGCATCAAGGACCCCAGTCCTCCTCTCCACAAATTCCCCCTCCCTTCTAAAACTGATGACGTTACCTAGTTGTGTCACGAAATGTTTACAAGAAAACAACCAAGCTCAGAGAGCACCAAGGATCTCACAGTTCAACCCTGAGCTACAGATATTCCCTTCCATTGGTTTTCTCCCTGCGTGGTAAATTCATTTTCAGGCCGTTCAGGTGCTAATGGGCTAATGCAGCAGCAACGCTTTCACAATCATTTCCTCTCACTGCTACGATCCTGTCGTTTCATTCCACAGCAACCCGAAGACCAGCCACCTCCAAAGCCAAACACCACAGACAAAAACTGTGACCATGAGTTATGCTTTCCCTACATACCGGTCCTTCCTTAAGGGCTTCTAATGCTTCATTCCACAACTTGGTGTTGGCTTCATCGTCTTTGATAAGAGCCTTCTGCTGGGGAGTGAGTTTGTAGACTTCGACTTTAGTTTTCTTTGGGGTAGTGGCAGGAGAGGCATAAAGGTCCGAATCGTTTCCTGGAAAAGTGCACAACTGTTAGGAATAACAAGGTTACCTAACGTAGTTTGGGTAAAATAATATATATAAACTAGGATAGTAAGTTTAAGTGTGTGTCACTTTAAACTGCAAAGCATGTAATTTTTGGGTGCGGTTGTGAAACCGCCATAAGAGGGAGCAAGAGACACTTGCTGAACGATTGCTGGTTTGCTGGATTGATGGTTTGCTAACTGCGTGTTCCCTGCTGAACGTTGAAGGAAGAAAGGAGGTTTGACTTCTTCATATCTCTACTGCGAGGAGATATATTACTGGACTGATATTTGTAAGTTTACTGACCTCTTTTTCGACACTGGACTTTTGCAACTGAATAATCCCCGGACGGACTGAACTAGTGAATGATATATGGACTGTTTTGACTATGCTAAAACTCTTACTGGAATAAACTATTTAACTAGCACAATGTATCTGTTTTACTGAGTGTCAGCTACAAAAACGTTTATCTCACATATTTTTGCCTGCCTGCCTGACTGCTGTGCAGATTCTGCTAGGGTGTATCCCTAACAACAACTATACAGAATTTACTTCATCCATCAAAGAGAGACTTCAAAAAGACGTGCAGGCAACTCAACTCAAGAAGATCATTTACCAGATTTCCTTTTCCTCTTCCCTTGAACTGGGCTTTCTTCTTCTATTTTCTTGCTGTTTTCTTTATCTTTGTTTGCAACGGCTTCCAGGTACCCTTCAGGATACTAAAGCGGGGAGGATGAAAAAGTTAGTTGGGACATAACTGCTGCCTGTCAAAACAATGGATGGCTGCTCATGGCCGCCGCCCCCGTTGTACCTGCATGGTCAGGCCAAGTTTCTTCATCCTCTCTTTGCCTTCTCTGGTCCAAGGGGCTGGCTCTTCATCGTCTCTCCTGAGCATGTAACGCCAAACCAAGAAGCCAGATTTCCCCGTTTCAGGCCAATATTTAACTACCTTTAAAAGGGAACAGAGAAACAGGTTTCCGTTCCATAAAGACAGTTTGGTGTAGTGGTTAAGGTATACCAAGCTAGAAATCAGGAGACGGTGAGTTCTAGTTCTGCCTGAGGCATGAAAGCCTGCTCGATGACTTGGGGCCCATTACCAGGAGATGATGAGTTATAATCCCCCCCCCCTCTGAGGCATGAAAAATGGCTAGGTGATTTTGGGCCAGTCCCCCTGTCTCAGCCCAGCCCACCTCACAGAATACTTGTCATGAGGAAAAGAGAAGGAAGCAGTAATAGGCGTGTGCACCGCCTTAAGTTATTTATAAAAAATAATAATGGTGGGATGTAACAAAATACAACAAATAAAGTAGAACAACATGGAATAAAAATAATAATAATAATAAAACACAGTGGCCAGACATAACCCCTCTTTCCCCCAAGCTTTGCGGCCCCATTTACCAGCCAACCCAATCTTACCTTATAGATCCCATCGTAACGATTCCCATCTGTGGGGGCGTATTTGCTGTATCGACCTCCCTTCACATTCCGCACCACCCTAACTGGTTTCCCGGCTCGCCAGTCCTTGGCTTCTGCACCCTCCTTGTCGTTAATCGGCGCGCTGCAGTTCAGGGCCAGAGCTCTACCAACCGTGAAAAGACAAGGGGTCTGAAGGGTCTTTCCTGGGAACTCTGATCCTCCCTTCTACCGGTGGTCCTCAACTTAAGAGTTAACTCACTGAGCAACCATTCCAAGTTACAACACTGAGAAAAGTGATTTACCATCAGCGGCCAATCACTCCAGCATCCCCAAATCACATTTATAAAAAGCGGCATTATCCCATGAAAATACCACATTATAAATGCCTTGGTAAGAACACACTGCATCCGGTTTTGGGTTGCCACGATATAAAAAGAGGTTGAGACTCCGGGAAGAGGGTAGAGAAGAGCAAAAAAGACAATTGGGGGGCTGGAGGCCCAAACATAGGAAAAACAGTTGCTGGGACCCTAGAGGTGACCTGATAGCAATCTTACGATATCTCAGGGGTTGCCCCAGAGAGGTAGTCAAGCTAATCTCCAAAGCCCCTGAAGGCAGGACAAGAAGCAACGGGTGGAAACTAACCAAGGAGAGAAGCAACCTGGAACTAAGGAGAAATTTCTTGACAGCGAAGTCAATTAATCAGTGGAACAGCTTGACTCCAGAAGTTGTGAATGCTCCAACACTGGAAGTTTTTAAAAATATGTTGGACAACCATTTGTAGGGGTTCCTGCCTGATCAGGGGGTTAGACTAGAAGACCTCCAAGGTCCCTTCCAACTCTGTTATTCTGTTATGATGAAAAAATGGCTGCCTGGCAACCCGCATGCATTTATGGATATTGATATATCCTAAATTGATGTCCCTCAACCGTGGCAATTTTAAGGCATGTGGACTTCAACTCCCAGAACCATGATGGCTGGGGAATTGTGGGAATGGAAGTCCACTAGTTCTAAAATTTGTCAAGATTGAGAGATACTGATTTAACCTCTGGCAAACATTTATAAGCATTATCAGCTATTTGGTTGAGCTAACCTCCATCCAGCTGCACAGTTTTATTTGGAGACCTGTATCTTACACCGGTGGACATTCATGAACAAAGAACAGTTATTTTTTAGCAGAGGTTTTGCCTACATGCAATTTTTTTTCCCCATTTATGCCCTTTCTGAAGTGTTTGTGGCCCATAGATCAGGGGCCTCCAACCTTAGCAACTTTAAGACCTGCGGACTTCAACTCCCAGAATTCCTCAGCCAGCAAAGCTTGGAGACCCCTTCAATAGATGATTCCAATCATGCAAAGCAGGTGCGCAATGGCACAGCATCAGGTAGGCGAACACATAAGAATAACTGCATGAGAACGGGAACTGCAAAAATACCGTCCACAAAGTAAGGCATGAAAATTTAATAAACCCTCCCTGATGCAGACAAACCACTAAGCCTCCACCGAATTATAAATGCAGTTCTAAAAACTGCTGAGAGATCTCCGGCGCGTTTAGCTTCATTTGCTCCCCGTCTTTTGCATAATTCCTCGGGGGTTTCTCCTCACCTGTTCATTTTTGTGAGTTTTTGATCGCAAGACTGTTCGGCTGTCCTCTTATTCCCTGAAAGGTCCCGGCCTCCGCTCCCCGTGTAAGTGAAAGAATTCCCATGATCCTGAAATATATTCAGATCGTTCAAATCCAGGGGTGGAAAAATTCCACTCTGCTGATCACTCAAGAACGTGAATCAATGGATTTGGGCCCTTAAAAATACTGAAATCTTTCTTCAACTTGGCAGAATTCGCGATCTGCTTGGCCAACTGCTCGGAGTTCCTCCAAATGTGAACGTTTGCAAAAGGCTCTTGTGCTGTCCAGCCAGTGTATGGGGGTTGGATAGTTAGGTAGCAGTTGTGAGCTGTCCCCTTAAGGGAATGCATCATGGTAAATGTAGTTAAGGTATCCTGGGAAATGTTGTCCATATCATGTGACATCTGTAATCCTGATTGGTCACTAAATTGACCCTTGGGGGGGTTGGGGGGTTTTCTTCACTCTTGGCTGAACTCGTGGTAACCCCTCTACTTCTATCGCTACAACATGGGGGGGGGGGGGGGAAAGGATAGAAGATAAATCACCTTTTTACTTTTCTGTACTCTGTACAATAGTGGATTTTTAAGCTGTGCAGATGCAGATGCAGATAACTCAACAAGACGCCCATAACGAAGTACATTTATTGGTTCGTTAGGTATCCTCATAACTCACGTTTGTGACGAAGTTCTTCTTTAATGACCAATCCTTTGCCTATCTGCCTTGTAGGTAAAAAAGATAATTTATCTTCTATCCTTTTCCCATAAACTGGCTGAACAGCACTGTTCTAACTTTGCCACACTGCAGCTTCATCGATACACATAGTCCTTGACTTGTGACCAATCACTTAGTGATCATTCCAAGTTATAACAGACACTCCCAAAACTGCTTATGGACCAGCTTCAAAGTTCGGGTGTTGGTTCCTTCCCAAGGTCACATGACCACATTTTCGGTGGTCAGCAACCAACCAACATTTCTGCCCCTTTGGTCTGCCCCATGGTCATATGACTGAGATTTATGGCGGTTTTCCCCGAAACCAGCTTTTACTTCTGGTTTCTGACAAAAAGCAAGCCAACAGTAAACAACGGATTCGCTTAAGAATTGTTGCAAAAAAGGTAATAAAATTGAGTCCAGGCAGGTCCATGGTGGACTGCTTTACAACTGTCATGAGTTATGACTATAATTGCCAGGCTTAACTATGGTTGTAACTCGAGGACTACCTGTATATAAAATTATTTGTTCTTTTCATATCAGTACGAATAAATGGCCTTTGGCCTGAACACTAGTTTATATATTTTAGAGCCAGCACAATCGATTTTATTATACACACATAAAACTAAAAAGATGCAATACAGGATACATTCCTTGCTGGCAATGGCTTTATGGCAACTTTTATGCTTCAACTGTTCATTTGTAAAAGAAAAAAAATGAAGAAGCAAAAAGGTCACTTCCCACTTTGGAAGACTCCCAAGTTCCTCTGGTCTGATTCCCCCCAATCAGAGCTAACTAAGCTTTCTCAACTTCAACAATTTTTTAGAGATGTGCGGTCTTCCGAACCCAGAATTTCCCAAGCAACCAACAGCAACTGTGAGGGACTGTTGTTTCAAACTTGCTCTTAGCAAGTAACCCAAGCCCTGGGATTCTGTTTAACTTCTGTATTTCTTACGTTTATTTTAATTCCAATAGTGTGTCTGCTCAGTGTGTGTTACGCCTGGGGCGACATCTCAGCCCAGTAAACAAAGGGGCTAGTCCATGAGAAGGCAATTCTGCTTCGCCTCCGTACTAGAACAGACACGTGACAATTTAACTCCGACTAATGCGGAGCTGAGCAGCCCTAACGTGCAAAGGAGCGCATCCTAGCCTTTTAGTTATGTCCCAAAGTATCCGTTTCAGAGTTTGAATGTACACTAAGCAGAAGCTGAAAGGAAATGGCATCGGTTGCTAGTTGAAGAGGTGATAAGGGGAAGAAACGTCGTCAGGAAAAAAATGACAAAACCAGATTGTCTTGGAGTAGCTACCTAAGGTAAGGGCTTTCAAGACAGCGAGGAGACAAACCATTCAGCTCTGTAATTAACAATTAATTATTTGAACCAAGTAATTAAATTCAACTAATTTAATATCTTACTGGCCTTGGGACTTGGGGTAAAGAGGAGGGCAGCACGGAGAGATACAATAACGTCACTTACTACATCGTCCTCGTATCCGCCCGCCAGGACCAAAGAATAGGCTCCATCGGTGCTCCGGCCATGAATCCCTGCAACGTGGGGCCTGTGGACACCTGACTCGCTCACCTGAAGAGAGAAAAAGGTCACCGTTCAAAGCTGTAGCACAGGGGTCCCCTACCTGTGGGCCTCTGCCCACTTACTGGACTGTGACCTCTTGACCAGAGGGCTGCCTGAGTGGCTGGCCAGTGTACGCACGCGCACTCACACCCCAACCGTGCTAGCATCGCCACGAGTGCTGGCACTCTTTAAAAATTATAGGGCTGGCCAACCTGGTTAGGTTTTTCCCTTGTATTCCCTTTTTCCTTCAGACTCAAGCAATTTACATACCGACACCCAGTAAGATCTACTGTACTTTCTCAACGCTTCCTAGTAGCAGCATCTCACCTGGACTCTGAATTTCCACATGGTTCCCACTGGAACACCAGGGATGGGCCCATAATGGTTTGATGGCACAATAGTGCATTCCCTTGTGCGTCCCACGCATGCCATGCCCTTAAAAAGAAAAGGGGCGAAGGAGCCACGGTTTAAACATGGTCAACACAACCAACCCACGGATGTATTCCAAACAGTTGAATCAAGAATTGGCTAAAGTCCACCTGTACATTTCCAAACTTCTAATACCCCACTGATTAAAATCACCAGGATTAGCCCACCAGGCCTCTCAGCTGCAGTCTTTGGTGGGAGCAATGGATCTTCACCTGTGCATGGCATTGGTTCCACCAAACAGGCTGACCTCTGTGCCATCCGTCTCCTTGGTTTTAGTTTTTGAACGTAATTTTTAGTTCTAATTTGTTTTATATTTAGGTTTTCTTGCTTGTAATTGTAAGCTACTCAGAGTTGCCTTATCAGTGAGATTGGCGGCCTATAAATTGTATCAATGTTAATGTGCCTATCAGCAAAACTGCACAGTTTATAAGGTTGCTCTGATTAGCTATTCTCATTATTTATATCCCACATTAATTAGCTTTACAATTAACTCCAGGTAGTGAGCATATCCAATACATCTTCCTCCTCCTATTTTCCCCTCCATAGCAACAACCCTGTGAGTTGGATTGGCCTAAGAGGGAGCGACTGCTCAGTCAACCACTAGCTTTCATGGCTAAGGAGGGACTAGAACTCACAATCTCCTGGTCACTGGCCCAAAGTCACCCAGCTGGCTTTCATGCCTAGGGAGAGACTAGAACTCAACATCTCCTAGTGACTAGCCTAAAATCACCCAAATAGTTTTCATGCCTAAAACGGGATTAGAACTCATCTTCTTCTAGTGATTGGCCCAAATCCCCCAGTCAGTTCTAATGCCTAAGGTGGGACTAGAACTCACTGGCGACTGGCCCCAAATCACCACTTGGCTTCCATGGCTATGGTGGGGCTTGAACTTGTAATCTCCCACTTTTTAGTCTGGTGCCTTAAATTTGCACCCAGCAATTCCTCCTCCTCTCCATAAGCTTCCCAGTATTTTAATGAACTAGAAGTGTGCAGTATTTTTTGCGCTGGCTGAGCCATATAAAGGGCATTTTTTTGGCCTGAAACCAACAAGCATAACCAGGTTCCAGTTACCTTGCCCCAATCCCGCTGAGAAGACGAGTTAGCAGATGCCATCTTAGATTTCTTTTTGCTTTCTTTCAGCTTCTCACCAGCCAAAACCACCTCATTCACATCATTTCGGCATTCGGGACAATACCTAAACGTTTAAAAAAGAGAGAGAGAGAGAGAGAGGAAGCATTTGTTGTTGTTACAAGTGGGTGAGATATCAAAAGCTACTTTCTCAATTTCAAATGATGCAGGTATAGTAAGTTACAGCTTTCCAAGACTCCGAGCTTTCCAAACTGTGCCAGACAGGACTTCATCTTGAAGATAATCCACCTTAATTCACAATAAGGACAACCGCTTTCTTCTCAGAAAAAAAAATGTTGCTGTTTTATTTACTTTGTTATTTAAAACAGGGTACATAGGCAGTCCTTGACTTATGACCAGTTGCTTAGCAACCATTTGTACTTACGATGGACCTTAAAAAAGGTATTTCCAACCCACATTCTGATAGCCATCCTTCCCGGGTTGTGTGATTGCATTTTGGGCACTTGGCAACCATCCAAATGGCACCTGGCCATTTGCAGCATCCTAAAGTTACACTTGTTTGCTTATTTATTAAATTTATTGGCAGACCCTCTTATTTCAGAGTAATTCTAGCAGTTTACAATCATAAAAGATAAACACGTATCAAGTAAAAACACAAATAAATTAATACCCAAGCTTTTACTTCTGTCTCTGGTTAAAATGGAGCTGGAAAGTAGTTTGGTGGGGTGGGGAAGGAATGGGGATTTTACAGTATCCTTCCCCTGCCACACCCACCAAGCCATGTCACGCCCACAGAACCGGTAGTAAAAAAAATTTGAATCCCACCACTGGTGCAAACATGTGGTGACCCACTTACGACCAGAACTCCAGGCTCAGTTATGCTTTGTCAGTCAAGAACAACCTCAGTAGTCTTTCTCATCCTGTACCAAAGCCCAGGACGCTCACAATCTTGCCAATTTCCCATGTCTTTTATAAAGACATTAACACAGGTAAGCTGAGATACAGCACAGATTTACATTAGTAAATTAGCATTGGTAATTTACTCTTAATAAACAGTTCTATAGGACAGTCACACGTCTTAAGATTTCATCGTAGAATAATTTTTCTCAACTGTAGCAACTTTTAAGATGTGTGAACTTCAACTCCCATCATCTATTTGCAAGGTGGGGAATTCTGGGAGTGGAAGTCCACACGCCTTATAGTTGAGAGACTTGATTATACAGTTGACTTACCAGTCCTCATCGTCAGGTATCCTACTAAGAGGGGGGTTAAGACAATAAATGTGGAAAGCCATGTCACACTCATCACACATGAGCTGTTTTTCAGGGTCTTGCTTCCCACCGCATATGTGGCAGGCGCACATCCGGCAGGTTTTGCTTGGGTTGTCTTTACAATGCTTGCACACGGGTCCACTTTGTCCTGAAGTTTAAGAAAAGCACACGTCTATAAAGCACTTCAGAAAGAACAGCCAAAAGACAGGAGGTCAAAAAAGATGTGGGTTCTGAATCTCATCCAAGAGACACAAATTATGACATTCGCTAGCATTGGTTATGGTGATGGCACCACCTCGGATGGTATTTTAAAAGGGTGGATTTTTTTATTTTCAGAAAAATGATTAACATTTATTAGGTGTGATGTCTAGTGATTAAGGCACCAGGCTAGAACCAGGAGGCGGGGAGTTCTATGCTTGCCTTAGGAACCCCAGCCAGCTGCATAACTTTGGGTCAATCACCTTCAGATGGCGAGTGTTAGTCCTGCCTTAACCATGAAAAGCTGCTGGGTGACCTTGGGCCAATCACCAGGAGTTGGTGAGTTCTAACTCTGTCTTTGGCATGAAAGCTGGCTGGGTGATTTTGGGCCAATCATCATAAAAACACATTCCCACTCATTGCAGCGTTTCAATATTGGTGTTCTCTCACGTTGACATACTTTCTAATTATGTAGGTTGCTGCTATATATGACATATTTGTTTTTGCATTCAACATAAACCAAGTATTTACAAGCTTACAGATAGTATTTATTTTTATTTATTATTTACAGGAGACATGAATTTTAGTCTCGCCTTAACTATGAAAGCTGGCTTGGTGACTTTGGGCCAGTCCCTTTCTCTCAGCCTCACAGGATTGTTGCTATGGAAATAATAGGAGGAGGTCAGAGTATTAACTTTGTTCCCTGCCTTAAATCATTTATTTAAAAAAAGGGTAATAAGGTGGGCTACAAATACTAAGTTTAGAAATTAAATTAAAATCAAATATTTAATAATAGTCTAATCCACTGAGGACCGAAGATCATTTTGTCTTGACCCAACCTGCCACGAATATAGTTGCAGCAAAAATCATTACTCGTTGCAAAGCAGGACAAGGCAATGGGAAGGCAACTCACTTTTCAGGGGACTTTCTGCAGTCAGAGGAACACTACAGCCGGGTTCTTCGATCTTGTAAATCTCGTCCACCAGAGCAATTCGGCAATCGCTCAAGATATCTCCACCATCGCTGCAAAATTGGGATCAGAACAAAATGAGCAAGAGAGGCGGCAACAATGGTGGCTTCTTCCAGCAGAAATTCCTTCCTACCAATCCCGCAAATCTTAACGCCGTAGTAATAACGCTGGTCCTTTGGATAGACATGGCCCCGTCGGAGTCTGCGGAGGAAGATGAGCTGGAACAAGAGCCGACAGAGACCAAGAGGGTGGCTCCGTTGGCCTTGGAGGAAACTGGGCAAGGGCATGTGGTCCGTCCAGGCAAGGCTCTTGTGACTTAGTAAGGCCTGCAGGCAGGGAGAGCTCAGGAGAAGAGCAAAGACGACCCGCTCCTGATCCGAAAGCAAGGAGGGAAGAGAGAAGGAGAAACCAACGCAGAGCGAGCCTGCTACAAGAGGGAGGAGCATGCCCCACCCCGCTTCACAAGGCACACCTGGGGGCTGAGAGGTAAGGAGGTGCCGTTGGGAGGGGCATTTGTCGGGAACAAGTGTGGAATCTGTAGAGCCTCGTGTGCACTTGCCGAAGCCTGGAGATTGCTATGCTCTGTCTTGTGGGGCTTGCCTGGTTTGCCTGCTTCACTGAAATTCTTGCCCTGGTTACTGTTGGGCTAACCTCATTGTTGGACTGCTGGCCCTGGTTACTAGTTGGCTAACCTTGCTTACTGGACTCCCCGCAGCCCGAGGCTGCTGAGGGTGCGTGTGACAGCTTTGCTCCAGGACTTGTAGTCGATGTCGGGACGTTTGGGGGCAAAGTTGGAGCAATAATGGGGAGCTAGACCTGTCCTCTGGCAGTGTTGCTTTCATGCCACGCCCAGGGTCATCACATTCCCTTTCAACTTCTAAATGAGAACATTTCTGGATTTCTTGTTTCCTCTTTGATAATATACGTATGTATGCATATGTGTGTGTATGTATGCATACATGCATGTATGTATTATAGCCCATTTCATTGTTTGAATGATTCTGAGCGGCTTACAACATATCATAAAAACAGTAACATGAAATATTAAAAAATCCAAACACTGAAAGAGGATAAAAAAAAACCTGGGTAAAATATATGAACAAAGTAGATTTGGGATCTTCTAAGTCTATTAAACCAGGGATATATTAAACTATATTAAACTACCCTGAGAATGACACGTCCCCACTGGGACCCCAAGCCAATTGGCAGAGCCAGGGTTTCAGGGTTGGAAGGCCAAGTGGGTAGGAAGGAGTAGATCTTAGGCCGAGGAGCGCAATAATCTAGACAAGAGAGAGTGTAATGGATGTATTTCTATCAAAATTATCTTTGTGGGGTTTTTTTTCTTCCTCCTTTTCTCATTATTTTAAAAGCAACAAAAGTGAATAAAAGGAAAGGAAACGTATCAGGGTTACATTCTCCTGGACTCTCAAAAGTTGGAGGAACCACAGAATAAGTTAGTTTGGAAGACAGCTTCCAAGCAAGCTCACTTACCCAAGAACAATCTTGGCGTATAATTCTTTGTAAGTCCTCGTTTCCCGCTTCTGGAGGATCTCCGCGTCGTACCAGAAGCCCCTCTCTTTTGGATCGTCGGGATTGTAATTCAACATGACAACATCTCCAATTTCTATCTCTTCCCATTTTAAAACCGTCCTGGCGCGAGCACGGACATTTCTGGAACTCAACTGGATGACACCGTTCTCCGGATAGCTTTATTGGGGAGAAGGAAGTACAATAAGCCATTCCACCTTTCCCAAACAATTACAGGTAGTCCTAGAGTTACAAATACAATTGAGCCCAAACTTTCCATCGTTAAATGAATTTTGCCCCAGTTTAGGACTTTTCGTGCCACCACTGAGAAGTGAATCATTGCAGCTGTCGAGTTAGTAAGATGGTTGTTAAGTGAATCTGGGTCCCCCATGAATTTTGCTTGTCAAGATCACAAAAGGGGATCACTTGACTCCAGGACGCTGCAACTGTCACAAATGAGTCAATTGCCAAGTGTCTGAATTTTGATCACGTGACAATGGGGATGCTGCCATGGTCATAAAGTCATTTTTTTCCTGTGCTGTTGTAACTTTGAAGTCACTAAATGAACTGTTGTAAGTCAAGGACTACCTGTGTTATGGTTCATCACAATCAACTGGAGGTTGAGACTGGATTTGGCATTTTTATCCACCTTCCTAGGATAGGCAGATGTGGAGATTTGCTGAACATATTGTTGCAGTATGTAAGTAATTCCAAGCTAAGCCACCTTTCGAAATTGACTAATAGAGATTTTTTTTTAATGCCAATGGTGAGCAGACAGGACTGTGGGAGCCTGGATGAATCCAGATCCAAATAATTTCTGCAACATCCACACCATTTTCAAAAGCAAACCTGCTTTCTGAATAAATGCTACCAACTCCAGAGACGCAAGGGAAAAAAATAAATAAAACCCCCAATACTTACTCTTCATATTTCACGTGATACGTAATGTCCTCATCAGGAATGGCTTCTTCCAAATTGGACTCTTCGTCACTTTCGCTGGCCTTGTTCGCCGAGTTCCCTTTCCGAGTCACCTTCACAACCTGCGCCTCGAACCAGGCTCCCATGCTCGTGTCACGAGCGTCTACCAACTCGTTAATCTAAACCAGAAGCATCAAAGGAAAACACTTGTTTTTAATTAGCCAAAGTCTTCAAAAAATCCCACTTTCTTGTGAATACAGCTTTTATGTACAGGTAGTCCTCAACTTACAACCACAATTGAGCCCCAAATTTATGCTGTTAAGTGAGTTTTGCCCCGTTTTGCAACTTTTCTCACCGCATTTGTTAAGTGAATCGCTGCAGTTGTTAAATTAGTGACGTGGCTGTTTTGTGAATCTGGCTTCCCCATTGACTTTGCTTGTGAGAAGGTTGCAAAAAGCCCCCACGCGACCCCCAGATTACCCTTCAACGGTCATAAGCATGAACCAGTTGCCAAGCATCTGAATTTTGATCATGCGACCGTGGGGATGCTAGAGCATGTTGAAAATGGTCATAGGTCACTTTTTTCAGTCATGTTGTAACGTTGAAGTCACTAAATGCACGGCTGCAAGTCGAGGACTACCTGTATATAGTCTGTTTTCAGGGTCTGAATAAAACCAAAATTTAGCCTCTCATTTATTTTTTAGGTACCAGTAATCATGAAAACATTTTCTTATTACTGCACAGGGTTGGCTGCTAAATATTTGATGATGGTTCCTAAAGTGCTCGGTCTCGGAAATTATACCCAAAAATCTATGCTCTGCATTTGAATCCATTTTAACTATCCAGCCTTAAAATTACTGTTTTATTGGACAAAGTGGGTTTGTTCAGACCGATCATTTACAGCTAAAATGTAAATTTTACACATAGCCTCCCACCCAATTCCCCAACCCAACCAGTGCACAAAAGGGAGTTGTTTTTTTTAAAAAAAATGGGATAAGAACGTAATATCTCTCTTTGATCAGGATGCTGATTGCTTTATTTATGCTGTACCTATGACCATAATGGAGCCTGCCCATTTATGTCCCATGTTACGACAGTCATTAAGGAGCACGGTGATCACCTTGGTTAAAGATGCTCATCTCTGCTCTCCCTGATGTAGCCATGGAGAGCTTGGGGTGAGGGGGAGGGGGCAGGGCAGCAACTCTACAGGTCACTTGTGGCCTGTTGCAGGCTTCCTCCACCTGAGGGGCACCTCGAGTTATTTAACAGAATAGCAGAATTGGAAGGGACCTTAGAGGTCTTCTAGTCCAACCCCCTGCCCAAACAGGAGACCTTATTTACCATTTCAGATCCCGTGGATCGAGGTATGCCTTTCCCACCCCACTGGGTATCCTCAGAACTCGAGCCTGCTTCCCAGCCCAGAGTCCCACCCTCTCCTTCCCATCACCAACTGGCCCCTTACCTTTGGGGTGTTACACATCGCCTTCTGAAAATAGCGATTGCATTATGCAACCTTGCTGCACGGTGGAGGCCGTGTGGGTGCAGGAAGCAGGCACCAATATTGGGGAGGCTACAATCAATTGCAACTGCTCCCAAGATGGCACCCGCTTCTAGGGCAGAGCCTTCTGACCTGCAGGCAGGCCGGGAAGTAGAATGGCCGACTCTCCGTTTTCAGAAATTACGTTAACAAAGGAGAGCAGGCCGCTTCACCCCTCAGCACCCCTCACAGCGGATAACCAGGTAGTACAGGTAGTCCTTGACTTGTGACCACAATTGAGCCAAAAATTTTCCACGGCTAGCAAGGCAGCAATTAAGTGCATTTTGTCCCGTTTTACAACCTTTCTTGCCAGAGTTGTTAAACAAACCACAGAAGTTAAGTGAGTCATGCAGCTGTTAAGCGAATCCAGCTTTCCCCACTGACTTTGTTTGTCAGAAGCCGGCTTAGGAGGTCATACAAGGTGATCATATGATCTTGGGACACTGCAACTGTCATAAATATGAGCCAACTGCAAATTTTGATCATGTGGCCGTGAGTTTGTTGCAAGGATCGTTTGTGTGAAAAACATTAAGTCACAACTTTCAGGGCCATTGTAACTTCAAAGGGTCAGCGTGAACTCAAGGACAACCTGTATTAATTAGGTGCTTTGGCAGTGATAAGTTTGCCAGGGTTTCAGACAAAAGAAAGAGAAATGGCCAAACCATGGCTGGCTGTGGCTTGCTCTACCACCAGGGAGGCATTCATTGTCGGAATCCCTACGATGACTAAGATTAATCCTGGCTTAATGTGTTATACAGACATGCTATAGTTCTCTGTGGAGTTTCCCCAGAACTTAAGAATACAGGCTCTTCTGCTTCAAAAGGTCTTTGCATTTGAACCTTCCATCTAAAGCAGTCGCACCTTATAGAATCCAAAGCCGGGGTCCACCAAGTCAGTCCCAACGGCACTACTGCACTGTGCCTCCATCTCCACAGCCCCTTCCCCATTATTGGAGCTTTTGTCCGATTCGCTTTGGCCTGAACAGCAGCCAGAGTCCGTGTCCGAAAGTTCAGAGTCTTTCTCCTTGTTCACCAGGGGAAGGAGAGTGGGGCTTTGTCTCACTAACAGCTGGACGATGTCGTTCAAATTCACGCTGTAATCAAAGAGGGAGTGGCCATCTTCCATCTGTAGGGTGAGAGAAGATCCCAGTCACAAAGGGGCAAGCAGCAGTTAACAGAAATGTTAAGATAGGGGGGTTCACACGCCCTTTGCGGGCAGAAAGTTTCAAACTGAAGGACCAAGTTCTCCACATAGGAAATACCCCACTGAAAACCTTGGAGAGTCATTAAGGATAGCAAAATAGTGACTTAAATTTCCAAAAGAGGAATAACACCAATATTAATCAATGAAACAACTTACTTCCAGGAGATGTGGGTTCTCCATCACTGGAGGGTTTCAAGAATAATTTGGATAAACATTTGACCAGGATAAGGTCTCCTGCCTTGAGCAGGGAGTTCGACTAAGACCTCCACAGTCCCTTCCAGATCTATGAGTCTATTTTTTTTTTTTTGCATTCATTCATTCTTTCCTTTCCAGTTCCTGAACTCTTCCCATCCTCTTCCCTCCCCTGCCTCCTCCTCATAGCTGAAAATATTTAGGGTGTTCCCGCTGCCCCCCCATCCGGTTCTCCCTCTTAAACTTCTTTGGCCCAGATCAAAAGAGCTCTTATTCATCTTTGATTAGATTAGGGCCCCAACCACTCAAAAATAGGCTGTTCCGTGCACGGAGCCCTTTGAGTCAAGGGCAGACAATAAATTTAATTTAAAAAATATATGCCTATTTCTACTATTTGCATAGATGATAGCTGCCTCTAATGACAGCATTTCCTGATTTCCCAATCCAATCTAATAATCTCTTAGATAGCATTATTAGTTGTGAATTTGGAGCAGTGAAGTCATATTTGTGGTAAGGGTGGCACCTTTCATTATGGTGGCATTTTGAAAATATCTTCAGAGCGAACAATGCTGTAGGAATGGCTGCATAGTTTTGTGGGCTAAAGTGTTTCTCAAAATTTGTGCAGCAAGACAAACCCGATCGTTTGCAAAGCCTGTTGTCTATATATTATTAAAACTCTATGTGTAACATTTAATTGGGCAAAACGATGCATTATAGGGCAACAATTTCCGGACCAAGATATCTCAAATGGGCTAATTTACAGAATGAATCCAAAATCTGAGACCCATAATTCCCATGGGATTGAAAGTTGTGAAACTTGATATAAACTATTTAATCATATAGACCCATCGTAAAACATTTTATGACTTTATACCAAATGTAACAAAATATCTCCTGTAGTCGAGATTCTCAGTTTTATTAAATGGTTCATCAGGGGCTATTTTCAAGGCAGAGCCATCCCGGAATATCTTGTTGATTTTTTAAAAAAAGAACTTTTCCAGTGAAGTACAGTAGAAGCATGAAAGAAACTAGTAAGGAAATATCTCTGAAACAATGACCCAACAGATCAAACTGCCTATAGGTAGTCCTTGACTTACAACGACAACCGAGTCCAAAACTTCTGTTGTTAAGTGAGACATTTGTTGTGAGTTTTGCCCCATTTTATGACATTTCTTGCCTCAGTTGTTAAGTGAATCGCTGCAGTTGACGTCAGTATCCTGGTTGCTAAGTGAATCTGCTTGTCAGAAAGTTGCAGAAGGGGCTCACATGATCTTGGGACACAGCTACAGGCATAAATGTGAGTCAGTTTCCAAGCATCTGAATTTTGATCATGCAATCATGGGGATGCTGGAAATGTCATAACTGAAAAATTGTCATAATTCACTTTTTTCAGTGCCGTTGTACTTTGACCAATCATTAAGTGAACTGTTGTAAGTCAAGGACTACCTGTATGTTAATGGCACATAGATGATGAAAGCTGGTATCTTTATCCCGTTAATAAGAAACAATAATCATTAAGCAAACAAGAGCCACTAGGCTGCATCAAAACCTGCCCTAGGAGTTCTGGCTTAGGACAATCGTTTGAAGCCAGCAGCCAGCAACAGAGCTGAGAAGTGGTGTAGAATCAAAAACAACACGGCTCAACACAAAGTCTAAAGCGTTTCACAAGAACATTCTTCTCTGCACTTTGTTAAAGCCTAAAAGAACAAAGTTCTACCAAAAACACTAGGATTAGTTTGCATTTTTGTTTTCTATATATCATTGGTATTTTTGCATTCACACTGCAACTGTTTTGTTTTTGTCTTCCATGTCCAATTCACTGCCTGACTGCAAGACCCTGTAGTTTTCTTGGCATGGTTTTTCAGAAGGGGTTTGCCATTGTCTCGTTTTGGGGGCTGAGCAAAAGCGTCTGAGCCAAGGCAGGAGATCTCACAACTGCCCTGATGTCTTTACCACTAAAACAGACTAGCTCTAATTTCATATTTTCCCTAAAGAGAATATAACGTAACAGACTCACTCACACATGCACACACACAAACAGACTGAAAAAAAATCTCTACCTTTCTTATTAGATTTACAGTTAATGCAAAATGATCCTGCTATTGTACAGTTAAATTGAGGAAAATACTCTTCATTTCAAGTAATTAAGTAGACTAACTCTTTGGACTTTGGTTTATCGATAAGAGAATAGGAGCAGGAACATAACACTTTTTAATGCCAAGCTAGTTGTCAGGGAAGCAATGCCAAAGGAATTGCCAAGAAGCAAGTAAAAAAAATAGGACACAACTTGTTCTGGGTTCAGAAGCTAAGAAAAGCCAAGGAGACTACCAAAGAATTCCAAGATTGATGGCTAAAGTGGTAAGCTGGAAAAAACATTCCCCAAAAAAGGAATGGCAAATAGCAAAAAAATAAAAAATAAAACACCACCCTATCATCTTAAGGAAACTGAATGGCTATTTTTTTTGTTTACCATCAAAACGCTGTGGGAACATTATCACTAGAGGGCAGTGCAAGTATTTTCTTTTTTAAAAAAACCAAATTAACAGCAAGCCTCCTTAGGAAGCTTTTAACTAGTTCAAAAAAGCCATTTACCTAAGAGACTCACACCACACTCATTCAAAAAAAAAAAAAATTCAGCCAAAGAGCTAGATTTCTCCATCCCTGGTTAATATTCATTAACTGAGCGATTACTTGAGAAAAGCCATCTTACCACTGTGTAAGGAGTAGCAGTCTCAATCCATTGGTACGTTCATAATCCAGGAGTTATGATGGCAGAACCAGGATTGTTAATTGCTAAGCCACCATGCAGTTGTAAGGCACATTACAAATCCATATTGTTTAATGCCGACAAGCTTACAGCCCTGGATACTATCACAATCCCAATCCTTGCAGATTTTAAGGGGGGAAGTGGCAGAATCCCAGGATGGTGGGGGAGGCCACGCCAAGGAACGGGGTGGGGGGGTTGGGGAGGCCTGGTGCAGAAAGGTTAGAGGGGGTGGGACAGCAGGGCAGGAGCACCTGCTGGATGGCATAGTGGGCGTGAGCTCATGAGGGGAAGGGAGAAACTCATCAGAGCAACTTGCAAACTAAACTTCCCTGCCAGCTTCCCCATTAACTTTTGCTTGAGGGAAGCCCGCAGGGAAGGCTGCCTACATTGATCACATGATCACAGGAGGCTACAACTGTCCTAAGTGCAAGTGCGTTGCAAAGCATGACCATGTGATGGCAGGGGGGGCTGCAATGGTTGGAGGAGGGGGGCACGGGGAGAAATACGGCATTATTTATCTCGTCTACAACGCAGTCCTTTCACATCCATTTGCACTACTCAGATGACCCTGAGGACACAGATAAACCTCCCAGTGCTTCAACGACCCTTGAAAAGGATGCAAATGACCAGCTGTCTGCAAGGAGTATCAATCCTTCCGTTCCAATCAGAGCTGAAGGAGCTTCTTAGATGAGAAGCAAAACAGTGTCAAAGAAAAACTGGAAAGTCCAGTGACCTCTTGAAAATAAGCATCTTTGGGTCAACCAAGACCTGGATGACTGTGAATCTCCCTAGAGTGGGAAGGGACCTTGGAGGTCTTCTAGTCTAGTGCTCAGGCAGGAAACCCTACACCATGGTTGCCCGATCTCTTCTTAAAAAACCTCCAGTATTGCAGCACACACGACTTCTTGGAGGCAAGTTGTTCCACTAGTTAAATTGTTCCGTCAGGAAATTTCTCCCTAATTTTAGGCTGAGTTCTTCCCTTGACTATTTTCCATCTCATTTCTCCTTTTTTGCCCTGCCTTCAAAAGGTGCTTTGGAGCTCCTCCACCACAGAAATCCAGAAGGGGGAGTTGAAGGCCTCCTACACAACTATGCAAAGGAATCTACCACATGTGGTAAGGAGCGAAGCGCCAACAGCGCCAACTTCCAGAAACGCTCACACCGTCCCAACACAATTCGGACAGCTCAGCGGGGAGAAGAATGAAAGCGACGTTACCTGTTTGCCTCGATAGAAAAGCCTTTGTCGGTCAGGTACCACCCTGAAAACTTCATGGATCCTCTGCCGGAGCTCTTCCACTTTTGTTAGCTTGGAAAGAGAGTCCACCCGATGTGTCTCTTTCCCGTCCATGGTGCGTACTTGGATCCACATTGTGGCAGTTGTGTCTGTGGAAGAATCACAAGAACGTGAAGGATTGGGGGGGGGGAGAAGGGAGACCGTGTGCCTGCCCATCAATCCCGATTTCCCCCCAAAAAACACGTGCCCACCCCTCGCCAGTCTCCCCTCGTTCAACCTAGAAGCGCCTCCATGTTTGCGCACCGAACGGTCCCATTTTGCACCCATTGTGCAAATCCAGGATCACCCTCCACATACGACACCCCACCCCCCCCACTGCCTCCCCCTCCTCCCAATTTTAAAAGGATGCCATTCATTTCATGGATGCAACTCGTTTCGTCTGGCAGAAATAAAATCTCTATAATGCATTTATTGCCAATACTTTTTGTTTGGTGGTTTATTATTGGGGGGGTGGAAATAATTTCTTCAAGCCAACTTGAATCAACTCGAGGAAACAGATAATACCCCTTGAAGGTAAATGGGCCTGCTCTGAACCTACATTTTGACTAAAAAATAAAATAAAAAGCAAATTGCAGTCATTCCCTTCCCCGCAAAAAAATAAGAATTATTACTAGCACTGGCATTGCTGCTGTCCTGTTATTTCCAAAAAGCCCGTTTCTTAGAAAACTTTATCCGGATAACGAATATAAGTTACACAACCGTCTTTCCCCACTTTCGTAACACCCCCCCAAATTAAAAACAAGGTTCCCATGGCAACCATGACCCCATTTTCCCTCCCAAAGCCCCCCAAGCGCTCTCTTCACCCCCTTCAGGATCCCCCTCCCCCAAGTTTCCCCCCCCACGGGTGCCCCCAAGTTTCCCCCCATTCCTATAAGCCCCTAAACTGACCAGCTTCCTTCCAATATCTATAGGCTGGGACCCCCCCCCCCCCC